TTATTTTTTCGTTTTGTTACTGTCTGCGGTCTCTTTTCTTTCTGTATGGTGCGATTCTAGCCGATTCATACAAAGGTGAGACAATCAGCTTTGTTTGCTTTTCTTTCTTTGAAGGTGGAAAATGTATATTTTACTTTAACAATGATTTTTGAAGGACTTGCAGAGCGCTATAATCCAACCAGCAATTTTTTTAATATATTTGTGATTTGTCTGTCTTTACTTCATTTTACAGAGAGCAATGTTTTGACAACGAAACTGACTGTTTTGCAATATTTTCAGATCGCTACCATGCTTTCATGCCGGGGAAGGGAATGGTCACTTGACTTTTTCAACTTTCGGATTTGGCGATTTTGGTAAAAAGCTCGCTCTATATGTGTGGAGCATTCTCAAGTGAATGAGAATCACACTCACTTCTTGCCCTTCCCAAAAACCGTCATAACAAAATATTGGACCAAGTTCTAGCACATTTTCAACTAAAAACTCACCGAGTTCTGTAATTTGACGAAACATCCACACAGCCATTACTTGTGTGAATTTTTGTAATTTTTTAAGATTCAGTACCTAAAGACTGTTCTACTAATCAATCCTGGTTTTTTGCAATTTTTTCTCTTGTTTTTTAATGAAAAAAATATGGCCTTCAGAAAATCTTTCCAATATCTAAATAAGAGGTCTTTTCGGAGATCAAATGGAAATGGCGAAATTCTCGATTTTTTTTAAACATTATAAAAACTAGCAAGTGCCCGCTACTTTGTCAGCGAAAAGTTCAACATAACATTTTAGATTCGTTCCACAAATTCTCGCCTATTTAGTATTAATATTTAGTATACCAAATTTAGTACTATTTAGTACACGTTTCTCAAAACCATTTCCATATCTCGCCATCAGATACCAACAGAGGCCTTGGTATCAAAATTGGGGGATTGTTGCTCTATCCCTTCACCCAACACCTAATTTGGTACTATTTAGTATTATTCGTACAAATATGGGATGCACTTCCAAATTCAACTCCATATCATAAACATAAACACCAACAGCGGCATATATATCAAATTTCAGGATATCAGTTCTATTCCTGCACCCAATACCAAATTTTGTACCACTTAGTACTTTTCGAACAATTATAGCACATAGTTCCCAAAACTACCTTCACATCTCAATTTCAGATACCAATATAAAATTTGAAGAATCCAGCCCTATTCTTCAACCAATACTAAATTTAGTACCCTGTACAAATGTCGGACACATTTCAAAACCACCGCCAATTTCAACCTCAGATGCTAACAGTTATCTAATACCAAACTACGTAGTTGTATCTCTATCCCTTCACCCAATATCAAATATAGTACCATTTGGAACTTTTCGCACGTTCATTGAACGCATTTCCAAAACCACCTCCATATCTTAACCTCAAACACCAACACCCAAAATTAAAGAGCTAAAATTCTGAAATTTGATATTGAGGTCAGGGTTTGCATACGGAGACGTTGAAATAGTTTTGGACAGAAAAATTGGATGTGCAATGTTTTTACTAATATCCTCCTCGAAAAAATTTAATTTTGAGTACCAAACACGAATTATTGGAAAGAATCTAAAATTTAAACATTTATTCAAAAAAAATATTTTATAAATTAAATCATGTGACCGAACGAGAAGCAATTCTTTGAAAATAAGAATAATTCCAAAAAAATGAAAACAGTTCCTAAAATGCATGAATTTATACTTAAAAATTATGAACTTTTTTCAATTTTCTTGAATCACGCGCATTTTTTAATCGTAGCAACATTTATGTAAAACTCAAATATTTTCTTACCTAATGCCATGTTTACGTTAGAACTTTTTGTAGGGTTAACCTACTTTGAGAGGATTTATTTGAAGTAAAAGTAATGAATATGACAATTTAAATCCAAATCCAGTGGGTTAATCCTCATATATATAAACGTACTGTAAGCTAGGAATCCGAAAGAGAAATAATTTATTGAATATTAAGAACATTTCCCAAAATCCATTAATTAATACATTAATTTTAGGAACTTTATTCCATTTTCAACAAAAAAAAAATTAAATTTTTAATCGTATTTATAATGATTTGAAACACAAATATTTTCTAAACTAAAGCAGGAATCCGAAAAACAAACAATTTATTGCATCTAAAGAACAGTTCCTAAAATCTATGAATTAATTCATTCATTTTATGAACTTTTTTTTTATTTTCATTAGAAAGTGTTTTCATTGGATTGTACCAACATTAATTCAGAATACAAAAAATAATTGAAAATACAATAATGTTTCCGAAAAAGAGTGTTTTTTCTTGAAATTGAGAATAGTTCCTAAGATTCATGAATTTATACATAAAAAATTTGAACTTTGTTATATATTTTTAAAAAACAGAAATTTTTCATTCGCGTCAGCATTTTGTCGAAGTAAAAAGCAATTTCTAAACTAAACTATGAACCCCAAAGAAAATTAAGAACTGTTTTTAAAATCAAGAAATTGATGCATGACTTTTATGAACTTGATCATATTTTCTGCATTAGTCGTACTAACATTTTTTAAACAAATATTTTCAAAGAATAAACGGTGTTTTGGGAAAGGTAAACTTAAAAAAGTATTTTTTTTTTTTTTTTTTTGAAATGAAGAACAGTTCCTAAAATCAATGAATAAATACATAAATATTAAGATTTGTATTATATTTCATTAAAAAGTGCGTTATTTCTATCGCACCAACATTTATATGAAATTCCAATATTTTCTAAACAAAAGTTGGTGTCCGAAAGAAAATGTTTTTTTTTTCTTGAAATACAAAATAGTTCATAAAATCCATGAATTAATACATAAATTTTATGAACTTTAATATCATTTCTTCAAAAAACGGTATTTTTCAGCGTAGCAGCTCATAGATGTCCGAAACTATGTAGGGAAACAATTTCGGGAAATTAAGAGCAGTTCCTAAAATCTATGAATAATTTCATTAATTTTATGAACTTTTTTTCTTTCTTTAAAAACGGTAATTTTTCCAGCGTACCAATATCTATTCAAATTACATATAGTTTCTCAACTAAGCCATGTATCCGAAAGAGAACCAATTAAAAAAAATAAATAAGAAACAATTCCTTGTCATTAAGAACAGTTCCTAAATTCCATGAAATAATACATAAATATTATGAACTTTATTATACTTCCATTAAAACCTGCATTCAATTATTTTCAACAAATATTTTCTAAACTAAACTAAGTATCCGAAAGAGAAACAATTTTTGAAAATTAAGAACAGTTCCTTAAATCTATGAATAATTACATTAATTTTATGAACTTTTCTTCTTTCTTTAAAAACGGTATTTTTTCCATCCTACCAATATCTATTTGAATTACAAATATTTTCCTTACCAAAATATGTGTTCGGAAGGGAAATTATTAAAAAAAGAAAATATGAAATAATTCGTTGAAATTAAGAACAGTTCCTAAATTCCATGAAATAATACATAAATATGATGAACTTTATTATACTTTCATTAAAACGAATATTTCGTCGATCCTACCAACAGTGTTTTGAAACACAAATATTTTCTAAACTAAACTAAGTATCCGAAAGAGAAGCAATTTTTGAAAATTAAGAACAATTCCTAAAATTCGTGAATTAATGGATTAATATTATGAACTTTAGTATAATTTCTCCAAAAACGGTAAATTTTCCCGAGTCTACATGCAAATATTTACCAAACTAAACCATGTGTCTGAAAGGGGAACAATTTTAAAACAATAGAAATGGAAAATATGAAATATTTTCTTGAAATTAAGAACCGTTCCTAAATTCCATGAATTAATACAAAAATATTATGAACTTTATTATACTTTCAATGTATTTTTTTCGATCGTACCAATAGTTATTTGAAACAAATATTTTCATGTGTCCGAAAGAGAAACAATTTTTGAAAACTAGGAACAGTTCCTAAAATCTATGAATAATTACATTAATTTTATGAACTGTTTTTCTTTCTTTAAAAACGGTAATTTTTCCAGCCTACCAACATCTATTTGAATTACAAATATTTTATTTACCAAACTATGTTTTTAGAAGGGAAATTATTAAAAAAAAGGAAAATATGAAATAATTCGATGAAATTAAGAACAGTTCCTAAATTCCATGAACTAATACATAAATATTATGAACTTTATTATATTTCCATTAAAACCTGTATTCTTTCGATCGTACCAACAGTTTTTTGAAACACAAATATTTTTCTGGCTAAACTAAGTGTCCCAAAGAGAAACAATTTCTGGAAATTAAGAACTGTTCCTAAAATCTATGAATAATTACATTAATTTTATGAACTTTTTTTTCTTTCTTTAAAAACGGTAATTTTTCCAGCCTACCAACATCTATTTGAATTACAAATATTTTCTTTACTAAACTATGTGTCCGAAAGAGAAAATATTTTAAAACAACAAAAATGTAAAATATGAAATAATTCCTTGAAAATAAGAACAGTTCCTAAAATCTATAAATTAATAGATACATTTTATGAACTTTATTATATTTTCATTAAAACGTGTATTCTTTCGATCGTACCAACAGTTTTTTGAAACACAAATATTTTTCTGGCTAAACTAAGTGTCCGAAAGAGAAACAATTTTTGAAAATTAAGAACAGTTCCTAAAATCTATGAATAATTACATTAATTTTATGAACTTTAATATAATATATTTAAAAATGGTAATTTTTCCAGCGTACCAACATCTATTTGAATTATAATTTTTTTCTTTACTCAACTGTGAATTCGGAAGGGAAATTATTTAAAAAAAAAAATATGAAATAATTCCTTGAAATTAAGAACTGTTCCTAAAATCCATGAATAAATACATAAATATTATGAACTTTATTATACTTCCATTAAACCTGTATTCTATCGTACCAACAGTTTTTTGAAACACAAATATTTTTCTGGCTAAACTAAGTGTCCGAAAGAGAAACAATTTTTGAAAATTAAGAACAGTTCCTAAAATCTATGAATAATTACATTAATTTTATGAACTTTATTATATATTCATTAAAATGAGTGCTCTTTCGATCGTACCAACATTTATTCGTAATACAAATTCCAACTAAACTACAGTTAAGTAAATAGAAAATAAAATACAGATATATATGAAGTAAATAATACAGATTTTGGGTTATAAATGTCTCTGGGGAATCACTGGGGAAACTTTTAATAAATTCGACTCAAACGGTAATTGTAATCTGCTGTAGATTCTTATTGTACTGCTCGAAAACCCTGAGCCGGCGATCTAGATCATCCATTTTTTGCAGCATAAATTTAAATTTCTGTTCATAAATGCCAATAATGGCTTTGAATTCATTGCGCAAGGTGTCCACTTCGCTGAGGGTGAATTGGGCAGAATCTCCTTGGGTTTCCTCCGATGGGATGATAATGTCATCAGTAAATTCCTGGGCGTCCTGGCTAAGACGGGCGGCTAGAGTGTTGAGGGCTAGATTTTCTTTTGAGGCAATCTGGGCATATTTGCTCTCCTCCTCCTCCGTGTCTTTATCTTCTTCCTGGGGATCTTCTATGCGATACATACACTTAATGCCACCAATATATTCCCCGGGATACTCTGGATCATAGGCATCCATGGTATAGCCAATTTTCCAGGGCCGAATCAGCATATCCATCATTAGCTGGAGACTATAGCAATTCCAATTGTTGCCATGCAAATAGAAATGTTGAAGTTTCTCGAAATAACGAAATTGATCGGGATCCAAATGGGTCAGACGATTGTGACTGACATTTAGAGATTTCAAACGCTCCGAGGCGGAGAGTATCGCAATGGGAATGTTACTAAGGCTGGTATTGCTGAGATCCAGCGTCTGCAGGGAATCGGTTTCCCAATATTCGGGTAGGGTTTTCAAATGCGGATTATTGGAGACATCAAAGTACTCCAGATTGGTGGCCTGACTTAGAGAGGAAATTTGCTGTAGCGAATTATCGCTTAGCCTCAAGGTTTTCAGGGCATCTGGCCGGGAGAAATATAGCTCCAATATGTGATTCCTTTCCAAATCCACGTGGTGTACCTTGCCATAGATATTCACCCGGGCGATGGAACAATTCCTAACCCAAAGATGGTCAACATTCATATTGGCCACCAGGCTTTGCAGATTCGGATTGTGTGACAGATCCAAAAAGTCCATTTGTTTTTGGGCCTGCAAAGAATATTCCTCCAGCTGTTGCAGGCGATTGCCATCCAAATGGAGACTTCTTAGGCGGGGATTGTTGAGGAATAACTCATTGTTGATAATACTCAATTTATTCCCAGCCAAATTAAGTTCCTGCAGAGCGCCGAGAGAATCAAAGATCCCCTTGGGCAAGGTACTCAGTTGGTTGTCATGCAGATCGAGCATGAAAAGCTTTTTCATGTCCTGAAACGAATCCCGATGAAGACGTTCGATTCTATTGCCATCGAGGAAGAGGAAGGCAAGATTCTCGGCCAATTTAAAGGTGCTGGGCTTAATGTCCCTTAGCTTATTGTTCGAGAGCAGCAGAATCGACAAGCTATTGGCCATAAGGAAATTCTCCCAGCTCATATTCTGTATCGAGCAGTTACGCATATCCAGCTCCTCGATTTTCAGGGAATAGAAAAGATTCAGCGGGAAATTGGCAAATTTGGAGTTGAGAAATTTCAGAACCTCATAGCTTTGGGGCCTCTTGAAAACATAGGTGGTGTCCGAGGTGAAACGTATGGCTGGCTTCTTTTCAAAATAAACCACTTCTGCGGGATTGTCATATTGGAAATCATGGCATTCTCCCTGCTGGCAATTGTCCTCCAGGAGGCCCACATCGAACTCTTTCAAGGCCGGCAGATAATCATCCTCGTCATAGAAATATTCAAAACTTGACACGACCTCTGGGGAGTTGGAGGAGGAGTCTTGGGAATTTTCCCCGGCAGCCAGGGAATTTTCTGAAATTGAATTCTCCTTGGAATCCGCAACATCATCCTTGGAGCTTTCAGTTTCTCCCGTTACCTCCATGAATTCAGGTTCCTGTGCTCTCACCCTGACCCCAAGGAGCAGGGAGTTCACGACGAAAATGGCCATTACGGCCAAACCAAGTTTAGCCATTTTCCAAGACTCGATGAGGTGGCGAATTTTTCAAACCGTTTTTGGAAAACCCGAAACCGAAACCGAAAAAAATAAGAAAATATTTTGAAATTGTTGTTGTTGCTTCCTCGTCGTCGTCGTCGTCGATTTTCTATGACATATCTGTTCGTTTCGACGTTTAACAATAAACTGAAATTTTTGCGTATCCAATTTGAAAAAAATGGCCAACCACCCACTGGGTCGGCCAATTTCCAGCAAATGTATTATTTTTCATCTGTTGTTGTTTTTGCCGTTGTTGTTTTATTATTATTTTATATTATATTTTAATTTCAAATGGACAATAATAAAAAACGAACGAACGGTCGAACGAACGGGTAATTATTCCAATAAAACAAATTTCAAAAGAATTTCCATTATAGAATTTTCATTCCGAAATGAAAATTGTTTTTCGTTCGCTGTTATTCATTAATGATAGCCAGAGCTTAGTTCGGCGTTTTTTTTTTCTGTCTCTCTAATTGACCTCCATTCTCTGGGGCGGCCCCAATTTGTAGGGCAGAGAGGGTATCCATAAAAACCAACTTTGCATTCATTGGCCAGCTATCATCATTAGTTTGCTACTCTTTCGCCCGACCGCTACCTCTCTCCATTCTTCTTCGCCTTTGCTTGGACTATGATCACAAATTGTGATCATCCGTTTTTTTTTGCTACTGTTGTTATGAATCGCTCGCCATTATTGAGCTTTAATTTAGAACAGATATGTGCAGCAGCAATAACTTGGCACGAATCTCCTCGATTCTCTCTCCCTCCATGAAAAAAAATATTTTTTTTTCAGAAAAAAAATTGTGTACTTTATGAAATGATATTCAATTTCAAGTTCACATTTGGTCCTTCGAGCAAAATAAACATGCACACCCTTGCTCAAGTGGATCCAAAAAGATTCAAGGGCTCACAATTTTCCCCTTCTAGGAATTACTCAAGGCCAATGTGTTTAGCAGAATATCCCCATTATTAATTTACAAAATTTGAGGAGGAATTTTGTAATATTTCAATTTGGTCCTTCGAGCCCAATAAGCATGCACGTGCCTGCTCAAGTGGACCTAAAAAGACTCACAATGTTGTGGCTCAATAATTACTCGAGGTCAAAAGGTTCAGCAGCATCCATTTCATTATTAATTTATTAAATTTTAAATCGATACGAGGAAGAGTTTATTTTTATATTCGCATTTGGTCCTTCGACACCAAAGAGCATGTACAAACTTGCTTGCGAGGGCCTCCAATTCATCCAACAGTCCATAATTTCCATGTCAATTAAAAATATATATATTTCAATCTGATAGAAAATCAGATTGCTTTTAATATTGACATTTGGTCCTTCGAGCTAAATGAGCATGAATGTGCTTGCCTAATTGCATCTAAAGAGGGCTCAAGGACTTAACATTTCCCCGTCTAGGAATTATTCAAGACCACTGTGTTTAACAGCATCCAATTCAGCATAACTCTACTAACTTTTGAATAGAGTTATATTGATCATATAATTTGGTCCTTCGAGCCCAAAGAGCATACACAAGCATGCTAACGGAGGTCTCAAAGTGATCCGATAGTCCATAATTTCAATGTCTAGGAATAATCGAACTTCAAATTTCAGCAGCTTTCACATCGGCTTTAATTTAATAAATTTCAAACTGATATAACATCAGATTTCTTTTAATATTTGCATTTGATCCTTCGGGCTAAGTATGCATGACCATGCTTGCTCACGTGGACGAAGAGCTGTAGATTTTTTTTTCCGTTTCAAGAAGAGCTGGACATCTTCTACGTCCCAATGTCCAGGTCTTCTATTGAGAATAGAAGACCTCCAGGTCTTCTATTGACAATAAAAGACCTCCAGGTCTTCTATGGACGATAGAAGAGACCTGCAGCTCTTCTATGGACGATAGAAGAGACCTGCAGCTCTTCTATGGACGATAGAAGAGACCTGCAGCTCTCCTATGGACGATAGAAGAGACCTGCAGCTCTTCTATGGACGATAGAAGAGACCTGCAGCTCTTCTATGGACGATAGAAGAGACCTGCAGCTCTTCTATGGACGATAGAAGAGACCTCCAGCTCTTCTATGGACGATAGAAGAGACCTCCAGCTCTTCTATGGACGATAGAAGAGACCTCCAGCTCTTCTATGGACGATAGAAGAGACCTCCAGCTCTTCTATGGACGATAGAAGAGACCTCCAGCTCTTCTATGGGCGATAGAAGGGACCTCCAGCTCTTCTATGGACAATAGAAGCCCTGCAGCTCTTCTATGGACAATAGAAGCCCTGCAGCTCTTCTATGGACGATAGAAGCCCTGCAGAACTTCTATGGACTATAGAAGCCCTGCAGCTCTTCTATGGACTATAGAAGCCCTGCAGCTCTTCTATGGACTATAGAAGCCCTGCAGCTCATCTATGGACGATAGAAGATCTCCAGGTCTTCTATGGACGATAGAAGATCTCCAGGTCTTCTATGGACTACAGAAGACCTCCAGGTCTACTATGGACTACAAAAGACCTCTAGACCTTCTATGGACAATAGAAGACCTCTAGACCTTCTACAGACGATAGAAGACCTCTAGCTCTTCTATGGGCCCTAGAAGAGCTCCAGGTCTTCTATGGGCAATAGAAAACCTCCACGTCTTCTATGGACTATAGAAGACCACCAGCTCTTCTATGGACTATAGAAGCCCTGCAGCTCATCTATGGACGATAGAAGATCTCCAGGTCTTCTATGGACGATAGAAGATCTCCAGGTCTTCTATGGACTACAGAAGACCTCCAGGTCTACTATGGACTACAAAAGACCTCTAGACCTTCTATGGACAATAGAAGACCTCTAGACCTTCTACAGACGATAGAAGACCTCTAGCTCTTCTATGGGCCCTAGAAGAGCTCCAGGTCTTCTATGGGCAATAGAAAACCTCCACGTCTTCTATGGACTATAGAAGACCACCAGCTCTTCTATGGACTATAGAAGACCACCAGCTCTTCTATTTATGATAGAAGACCTCCAGCTCTTCTATGGACGATAAAAGACCTCCAGCTCTTCTATGGCCGATAGAAGACCACCAGCTCTTCTATGGACGATAGAAGACCACAGGCTTTTCTATGGACGATAGAAGATCTCCAGGTCTTCTATGGAAGACCTCCAGGTCTTCTATGGATTACAGAAGACCTTCAGGTCTTCTATGGACTATAGAAAACCTCCAGGACCTGGAGATCTTCTATCGTCCATAGAACAGCTGAGGGTATTTTATTGTCCCTAGAAGAGGACGTCTACAGGCCCCTAGAAGACATGCAGCTCTTCTACAGCCCCTAGAAGACCCGGAGTCTTCTAAGACCTGGAGGTCTTTCATCGTCCATAGAAAGCCTGGAAGACTTCTATCGTCCACAGAAGACCTGGAGCTCTTCTGTTGTTTGGTCCGGTCCTTAGAAGAGCTGAATGTCTTCAACGCTCTCTAGAAGAGCTGAAGTTTTATTACGCTTCCTAGAAGTGCTAGAGTTTTACTACGCTCCCTAAAAGAGCTGGAGGTCTTCTATAGCCTCTAGTAAAGCTGCAGGTCTTCTATGATCCCAAATGGCTGCCAAGAAGAAATTATTTATTTTTTAATTTTAAATTGGGCGCCACTTGGATTTTTAAATTTTTATTTATTTATTTTTTTTTTTATTTTGCTTTTTGAAGCATTCTAAAAAAATATTTTATCTTCTGAAGGCAATAGAAAATATTCTATGCATTTTGAAAAAAATAAAGTACCCAGAAATCGTCAATATTTTATAAAAAAAATAATAATGCGATTCTCAGAAATCTTCAAAATTCTAGAGGAAAATATTTTCTATTGTCTATAAATATCACAAACCCCAAAAAAATAGAATAAATATTTAACTTCTGAACATTATTTATTTTCTGAATATTGTAGAGAGATCCATGTGGCGCCCAATTAAAAAATTCTTTAAAAATAATTTTAATTATTTTCTTGGTTGCTAATGTCGTGGCTGACCCTGAACTTTTGACCAAGTGCTCTACATAATTTTTTTTTTTCGCCCATTAAAATATCTGTTTTGCCTCCATTAACTTCTCAATTGACATCTGTGTTTGCTTTCCATCCAAAAATGCGATTCTCAATATGTTTTTCAATTTTTTCCGTTTGTATTTGTTCTGCCATAATGCAAAACATGTTAAAATTATTCCAAAAAACATCTATCCATCCATCCATTATTTATTTAATTACAAAATAAATAAAAACCAGCAAAATTTTTTTGGGAATATTCCAAAATCGTCTTTTTATGGACGTAAAGATGGAAATACTTAACACCAGCACTCCACTCGAACGGCTGTCTAGCGTTGGGTGAGTAATGGGTGCCGAGGGGGGATGGGGGATATTTTAAATAAATATGAAAATATATTCATATGTTTGTGAATTTGTGTATTTTTCTGATTAATTCATCGAACCAATCAGCCGAACAACACCAACAACAATGCTAACAACAATACGAGAGTAAATACTCAACAATAACAAGTAATACCCCCGACTGATCTTCAGCAGCATCGCCCGCCGAACACAATGAATAAAAACTATAAACAAATTGAAGATGATGGCTGCTGGCAGCATTGTAGACACACTTCCTCCATACTTGCCTACGGCTGGGAGGGGCGAATAATGCTGGACAGACAGCCAGACAGACATTGAATGCCCATTACAGGCAAATTTTGTTGGAAATGCGGATAGGCCTCAAGTTTGGCACAAACGATTTGTGTGTAAACACTTTGTGTGGCCAAGTAATTGGGTTTGAGCACAGCATTATGCGGGCGGGTGGGTCATGAGGGGTATTTATATGTGTAACAAATTGTGGACAATATATGAGGGTAGTATGGGGAAAAGGGAAATATTATGGAATATTATATAAAGAAGAATTTGGGGTCTTCTGTGGTCCCTAGAAGAGCTGAAGGTCTTCTATGGTCCCTAGAAGAGCTGAAGGTCTTCTATGGTCCCTAGAAGAGCTGAAGGTCTTTTATGGTCCCTAGAAGAGCTGAAGGTCTTCTGTTGCCACTAGAAGAGCTGAAGGTTTTCTATAGCCCCTAGAAGAGCTGAAGATTCCTACGGCCCCTAGAAGAGCTGAAAGACCTCCTACGGCCCCTAGAAGAGCTTAAAGGTCTTCTATGACCCCTAGAAGAGCTGAAGGTCTTCTATGACCTTAAGATCTTCTA